CAATCAGGGATCAAACCCAGGCCCTGGGCAGTGAGTGTGTGGAGTCCCAACCGCTAGACGCCAGGGAATTCCCAACTCTTTCTTATTGACTTTATCATATATCTATCCATTTCTCCATCAACCATCTTATTTTACTGTTCATTTCTAAGTAACTTGCTGATATCAGTACATGTCATTTTTTAAGGAGCTTCCTTGATTAATCAAGAGAATTATACTCGATATACTTTCCAATTTCTAATTTATAAGATCAGATAAGGGGCTTCCCTGGTGACATAGTGGTTAAGAATCCGCCTGCCAATGCAGGGGACATGGGCTTGAGCCCTGGACCGGGAAGATCCCACATGCCACAGAGCAACTAAGTCCGTGCGTCACAGCTACTGAGCCTGCACTCTAGAGCCTGCAAGACACAACTACTGAGTCCGTGTGCCACAACTACTGAAGCCTGCGTGCCTAGAGCCCGTGCTCCGCAAGGAGAAGCCACCGCGGTGAGAAGCCGACGCACCGCAACAAAGAGTAGCCCCCGCTCATCACAACTAGAGAAAGCCCACGTGCTGTGCAGCACCAAAGACCCAACGCAGCCAAAAATAAATAAATAAAATAACTAAATTAAAAAATTAAGATCAGATAAGCAGATACATTTACTCTTGTAAAGGGCCTTGTACTCAGAGTGAGATGTGACGCCATTGGAGTGAAATGATCTAATTTAAGTCTAAATAGTACAGCTCTGGCTTCTATGTTGAGTATTGAAATTGGAGGCTCAGGATTTTAGCAAGGAGATGATCTAAGGGGCTTTGACAGTAACATCACTTCATCTGTGTGAGACATGGGATGTTAGGGGTGGAGGTGATGAGAAGGGGTCAGACTTTGGATACATTTGGAAGGTTGAGTTGATAGGATGTGTCAATGGATTGTACACGAAATTAATAAACAGAAACCCCATGATGCCCTGCAATGATAGCAGAGCCCAACAGGAATAAGAGGGACTCCTTTTCTTTCCTGGCAGGGACTCAGCCAGGGACAAGCCATGGACTCTGTTGAGATAGCCCTCCCAATTCCGCTTTCCCTCTATAAAAGCCATTCTCCCTTGTTTGCCCCGAGGGGACTCGCACGTGACCCGCTGTGGTTGCCCACGTGGAATTGCAATTTTCTGCTCATCCTGAATAAACCCCTCTTTGCTGGAGAAATATCTGGCAGCCTTCTTGTTTCAGGTCACAGTTGGATGTGTGGGGCATGAGAAAAAATTAGAGAGTCAAAAATGATGAAAATGCTTCTGACCTGAGCAAGTACAGAATTGCCATTAACAAATGAAGCTGTGCAAGAAGTAGGTTTGGGAGAGAAGGTCAGTAGTTTAGTTGTTTGTTTTTAATCATGGTCAAATATATATAAGAAAATTTTGCCATTTTAACCACGTTCAAGTGTTCCGTTCTGTGGCAGTGTTCAGTGTTGTACAACTATCACCGCTATTTCCAAAACATTTTGCTCAATCCAAACTAAAACTCTGTACTCATTAAGCAATAACTCCGGGTTCCCACCCCACCCCCAGACCCTGTCGCTTCTGATCTACTTCCTGTCTCCATGAACTTACTTATTCTAGATATTTTAGAAGTAGAATTACACGATATTTGTCCTTTTATGTCTGGCTTTTTTCTCTTAGGCGTAATGTTTTCAAGCGTCATCCATGTTGTATATATCAGAACTTCATTCGTTTTTATGGCTGAATAATATTTCATTGTATGTATATGCCAAATTTAGTTTATCCATTTACCTCTTTATGGACACTTGGGTTGTTTTCACCTTTTAGCTCCTGTGAGTAATGCTCTTGTGAAAATTCACATACAAGTATATGAGTCCTTGTTTTCAATTCTTTTTGATGTATTCCAGGAGTAAATTTGCTGGTCGTATCGTAATTCTGTGTTTGACTTTTTGAGGAACCACCAAATGTTTTCTACAGTGGCTGCATCATTTGATATTCCAGCCTGCAGCATATGAGGCTTCCAGCTTCACACCATCATCAACACTTGTTGTTTTGGGAGGTTTTCTTTTTTGGTTGTTGTTTTTGTTGTTGGAACCATCCTGGTAGCTAGAAAGTGGTATCCCATTAGGTTTAGTTTTGAATTTCCCTAATGACTAGTGGTTTTCATGTGCTATGGGCCATTTGCTTATCTTCTTTGGAGAAATGTCTATTCAAGTTAATTTTTGTATATTGTGTAAGGCAAAGATCCAGTTTTATTCTTCTGTATGTGGATATCCAGTTCTCTCAGCATCATTTGTCAAAGGGACTATTCTTTATCCATTAACAGTCTTGGCAACCTTGTAAAAAATCAGTTGACCATGGATGTGAGGATTTATTTCTGGAGTTTCAATTCTATTTTCATTTATATCCTTATGACAGTACCGTACACTTTGAATACTGTAGTTTTGAGGTAAGTTTGGTTTTGTTTTGTTTGTATAAATTGATTTATTTTGATTTATTTTTGGCTGCATTGGGTTTTCGTTGCTGCATGCAGGCTCTCTCTAGTTGCGGTGAGCGGGGGCTACTCTTCGTTGCGGTGTGTGGGCTTCTTATTGCGGTGGCTCCTCTTGTTGCGGAGCACAGGCTGTAGGCATGTGGGCTCAGTAGTTGTGGCTCGTGGGCTCTAGAGCGCAGGCTCAGTGGTTGTGGCGCACAGGCTTAGTTGCTCTGCAGCACGTGGGATCTTTCCCCACCAGGGCCGGAACTCGCGTCCCCTGCACTGGCAGGAGGATTCTTAAGCACTGTGCCACCAGGGAAGTCCCTTTAAGTAAGTTTTGAAATTAGAAAGTGTGAGACCTCCATCTTTGTGGTTCCCTTTCAAGATTGTTTTGACTACTTGGGTTTCCTTGGAATTCCGTGTGAATTTTAGGATGGATTTTTCCATTTCTACAAAAATTGCCATTGGAATTTTTATAGAGATTACATTGAATCTGCTTTGGCAAGTATTGTCATCTAAATAATATTAAGTCTTCCAATTCATGAACACAGGCTGTCTTTCCACTTATTTAGGTCATCTTTAATTTTTTCAGCAATTTTTAAAAAAAATTTCAGTGTACAAGGCTTGCATCTTCTTTACTAAATTATTCCTAAGTATTTTATTCTTTTTGATGCTATACAAATGGAATTAGTTTCTTAGTTTCCTTTTCAGATTTTTCATGACTAATTATAGAAATACAACTAAGTTTTGTGCCTTTTTTTTGTTTCCTGCAACTTTGCTAAATTCATTTGTTAGTTCTAACAGTTTTTCTGGATTCTTTAGAGTTTTCCGCATGTAAGATCTTCTCATCTGTGACCAGAGGTAGTTTTATTTCTTCCTTTCCCATTTGCATGTCTTTTCTTTCTTTTTCTTGCTTGATTGCCTGACTAGAGCAGTGGCTTGGGTTTGGACATGTCACATTTGAGATCCTTATTGGCTCTCCTGACAGATAGACAGTAGAGTCTTTGAGTCAGGGCACCAAGGAGTAGGTCTGAGCTGGAGATGTGGAACTGGGACTGCTCGGCGTGTTGCTGCTGTATAAAGCCCAGAGGCTGTGTGAGAGGCCACGTGGGGAGTGAGTGTAGGTAAAGAAGAGAAGCAGCGTGAGGTGCAGTCACGGAGACGAAGCCTAGTGATGCCCAAGTCAGGAGAACTTCCTCTTCCCATTCCCTTTCATCCCTTCGCTCTAGAAATGAGTGTTTCCCACCGATGAAACCTTACAGGCGTCCTTGCGTGGTTCCCCAGAAGAAAGTAAGTGCCTTGGAATGGCCTCCTTCTGGGTTTTACTTGGATGTGGCCACACCACTGGGCCTGTGTAGTCATCGTTCCAGGGTGACACTGAAGCCAGACTCGTACTCAGCGATGAGAGACTCCTCCGTGAAGGCTTTGTCTCCAGACTCAACCCAGGGAGCTGTGCTCATGTTCCGCTCGGCCCCGAAACAGAGGAGCACGGACACAGGAGGATCCAGAGGGTTACCTAGGGATAGGGCAGCGTCATCCATTGTTGGGTGGCTCGTGTGCCACTTGTGAGAGGGCTTCCTCTGAGTATCTTTTTCATTCGTCTTACCTCTTCCTCCACGCTCCCTCAATACACCCATGGGGCTCACAGGCCCTTCCGTCCCATCACGTGTCCCCAGGTCCTCTGGGTGTCTTTGGTTCCTCCTCATTCATGCACAGGACCATTCAGGACACCGACGCGTGTGCCGTGGTGGGTTCGTGGTTATACCAAGCAGCTGGATGCATTCGAAGTACATCGTATGAGCTGAAAGAGTGTATGAATAATGTGTGTTCACATTTGTTTTTTAAATAAACAGAACATTGGGCTTCATATGTACCAAATTATTGATATTAAATGACTGTCATTTCCGGCTGGTGGAACTATGGGGGAACCTATATATCTAATTACATATTTTTAAAGCATTTGATTCCTTGCTGTCAGCTTATATAAGTAAAAAGTACTTTTAAACTTTTATTTTTAAAAATTTACATTTCCAGTTGATAGGAGATGCCAACACATAAATAAGCAGTCCCATTATCTGTGCTTTCGTGTGGAAGGAGTTAAAGAATTTGCTTGACTCAGGTACACACGTTACTGTGTACCTATGTCCAAGACAAGAAAATGGTTGCCTAGAAGCCCCAGGATAAGTGGTTTCTAAGCCTGCAAGAAAAATGCCTTTCTTACTCTCTCCTTCCTTGGAAGTTTATTCACAGTTTGGCACTTTTGGAGGTCTGCTAGCCAACTGGTAGAACGAACTTCAGGAGGGAAACTTTTTTTCTCTTCCACCTCACGTCCTGGATTATTTTGGGTTGGTTTGGGGATAGTGTCTGAGTTTCTATCTCTTGAGCTATTTTTTTTCCAGGAATATAAAGTTTTTTTCCTTTGATATATGCTTAAATGTTTGCTTTTAAGTGATGTAACTTTTCAGAAAACATATTAAAGTTTATTTCTGTGGGAAAAATATTTTTTATATTTTTGACTGTTTTTTGTTCCTTCTCTTTTGACATCTCTAGCCAACAAGAACATTAGTCATGACAAGCATGCCATCTGAGTAAGTACTCATTGTTTTGATAACTTTCTACTCAATATAAAATTTTAGAGTTTTTGTTCATATACTGTGCTGCTGTGCTCTTGGGCAGCTCATACCTCTGTGCTGTATTGCTGTTACTCTATATAATTACTATTGGAGTTAGAAGATCACTGGAAATAAAAGAGTTAAATGACTGTGAACAGTTTAGCACTGAAGACCTCTTGAGTGGTTTGGACAGCACTTAGAGGCGCTATAGTATTTGCTGTTCCTCTTGTTGTCTCGTACCTGTTGGCTCTGCATGTCCACCATCCCCACCCGATGAAGGCCCCGTAAGTGTAGCCTCACTGGTGGAAGCATTTCCCTTAAAGGTCTTAAAGAAACGCTTTGGTGGTAAACTTTCTACCGCTGCGTTAAAGCAGCTGTGTGCACATCTTGTGGGAGAGTTCACAGCTTGTTGGCGTGCTCTTATCACCATCCTTAAACTTTTAGCATGATATAGCACATCCAACAAAAATACAGTGCCATATTCTTTGCAACAGATTTTTGAATTCTTGTTCAAATGGGAAAACTGTGTTTTTTATATCTATCAGAGGTTTTAGGGCTTTAAGACATTTATCAAAACATTGGGGCATCTCAGTGAAATACAGGCTGCAAAAAGAGTGCATGCTTCCAACATTTTCTGTAATGGGATCCCTTTCCACCTGTGGCATGAAGTTAAAAGGGCTGGTTGTTCAAACCACATTATCCAGTGAAAAAGGAGCTCATTCACAATTTCTGTTAATGTCTTGTGAAATATATTGGTCATCCTAAATAGTCTAATACAGAAATGAATATTGAATACAGGTCTAGCATTTTTTTTTTTTTTTTTTGCGGTACGTGGGCCTCTCACTGTTGTGGCCTCTCCCGTTGCGGAGCACAGGCTCCAGACGCGCAGGCTTAGCGGCCACGGCTCACAGGCCCAGCCGCTCCGTGGCATGTGGGATCTTCCCACATCGGGGCACGAACCCGTGTACCCTGCATCGGCAGGCAGACTCTCAACCACTGCGCCACCAGGAAAGCCCTGGGTCTAGCATTTTTAAAAGTCTGTATTTTTGCCCCAAATTAAAACAATAAAAACACTGATAGCTAGTTATTTTCCCAGTTGAAGGGTTGAAAATCAAACTCTTCATTTAGGCCATATTCTCTTTCTTATTCTTTCTTGCCCCACATATACGTCTTGTCTGAAGGTAAGAACAAGACCTAGACACGTTCTGAGGCCATATTGATTAGCCGTGTCTTGAAAAGATCCTTGTTATTGATTAGCACATCTACAAATAGCCAGCAGCTCCCAGACTTGGAATGAGAAAATCATAGATATGCAGCAACGAACGAGGTTTCTGAAGAGCATCTGGGTTAGAGGTTTTCACTTCTTTTTGTTTTTGTTTTCTTTGCCTTCTGTCCCCCCAGTTTAATAGTTTCCACAACCCCAATAAGCGCAGATCCTCTGGTTGAAGTGGTGATGGGACCCGCCCTTGACCCATCCGTCTTCTGTACCCTGGGGATCCCTGAGAACTTCTCACCAGGGTAGAGGTCAAACCTTTCACTTCACAAGTGGAGAAACGGGTCCTTGTGATTGGCAAACCCAAGTTCATTGGTGATAAGAATAAGAAATGCCGTAAAGTGGATGGGGGATTGTCAGAGACGGTCTGCACAAGCATGGACAAACCTGCCTCCTTCCCTTGGGAATATAATTTTTGGAGAAGAGAGAAGTTTATTTCTTAACTCACTGTGCACGTCATAGTGTGGCTCAGAAAGCCTACATATTGTTTGTGTTTCATCGGGGATTTCCAAAACTTGCCTGGAGACTGAGGGAGAGGAAAAGTGGAGGGTTGTTTGGGAAGGAAGTTAGAGAGGAAGAATATTTAAAGAGAAAAAAAGGGTTCTTAAGGCATTAGTGGAATGAAAGACCAGAAAATAAACACTGATGAGCTTTGTGAAATTTGCCCTGAGATTTGATCCAATGACTTAATAAAAAGGACCCCTTTTTCCCCCCTTAGTAGAAAAGTGATGTCTTTGACTCTCGGCAAATGTTATATTTTCAAAATAAAATGAGTGAGAAGCTTGGTCCTGACCATGCACAAATTGGTTCAAATGGGACACAGAAGTAAATAATTGCCGTGGTGTCTGGGCAGGTGTCAGGAGGTCTGGTGTGGGATACTGGCCTGCCCCACCCCGGGCACATGGGGAAACCCCTGGTAGCCTTGGGGCCACCATTTTCTCAGCCATTAGAATAGGTGGTTGGAGTTGAGATCTGAAATTTTTTATTTCCCCACATTTCAAGTCATTGACGGCAAAGAAATTGACATGAGCACCATAGCCGACATCAATGTAGAATTCTTCCTGTTTTTTACATTTTAATTCATCCATCACCTCAATGTTTCTGCTCAGGAAGCACATCCATTGCGTTGGTTTTTCTTCCTATTTGGCAGAAAGCAGAACGTGGTCAACCAGGTTGTGGATAAACTGAAGGGCTTCTCCTTGGCTGGGGAGGCGTGTGGCTGCCCCACGCACGTGCTCGCCAGGAAGCCCCGCCGCACCCAGAGCATGCTGAGGGGCATCGCAAGCGGCTGCTGGATTCTCTCCTTCGAGCAGGTAAGCCACTGCACCAGCGAAGTACGCGTTTGGGTTAGTGTCGTGAAACAGGCCGTCCCGTGGCTTTGGTCAGGCCGAGTGGTGGCCCTGCATCCATGTTATCACGCTTTCTCTCCTCCGGCTCTGGCCCCTCTGGCTCTACTCACCTCCAGCCACTGCTGGTCCCCAGGAGGACGGGCAGGTAGCTTTCCAGATATAGACCTGGCAGCCACGGGCAGAAATAAGATTAGGGCAGACTTGGCCTGAAAACGCCCAGTGCGTGTTCTCACAGTCAAATGCACTTTCTTCCGTTTCTGACCAAGAAATAATGTGACCTATGTTAATGATGGTTTAAAAAGCCAAAAGAATTCAATGATTGTTTTCACAGATGGATTTACTTAGGGTGAAACATGTTCATTTAATCCTGTTTGGATATGTTTTATCTTATGCATATCTATCTTTAACATTACTTGCCCTTATTTCTCTGCATTAAATGTAGGGTTTTGGGTTTTGTTTTTTTTTTTTTGTGGTACGCGGGCCTCTCACTGTTGTGGCCTCTCCCGTTGTGGAGCACAGGCTCCAGACACGCAGGCTCAGCGGCCATGGCTCACGGGCCCAGCCGCTTCGCAGCATATGGGATCTTCCCGGACTGAGGCACGAACCCGTGTCCCCTGCATCGGCAGGCGGACTCTCAACCACTGTGCCACCAGGGAAGCCTTGGGGCGGGGGGTGCGGGGTTTAATCATTGCTTTCATTATTCTTGAAATTGAAATTGTTTGTTACTCTTTCTGTTTTTACTTTGATCCCCAACCTGTGGTCACTCCAAAGCGTTGCTGTCTGAGGGTAGCATCATTTGTTACTTGCGTTTCCATTTTGCATCTGCTAAGTACCCACCCTCCCTTCTCCTTCCCCTAAGCATGGTGTTATATTAATTCTGTGTTAGTTTAAACTGGTAGAATTATAGTACACAAACAAACTGTAGATATATTTTCAAGAACAGCTGTGGTCTTTTTCCCTTGTCATGATTTAACCCTGCATCGGTCCATTACAAGAGGTTTAGGACATTAGTGCTTAGAGTCATGAAGTGGGGAAGGCTGAAATTCCCCCCAAAAGTCCTATTTGCATTGGCAGCAATTGGGGATTACCTTACCTAATTATGTCTGAGTACCGATCCACATTTATTTGTATGAATTGTCATTAATAACTCCAGCTTCCGTGAATAAATATCCTATTTGCTTTCTCTCCATTTCACAGTGTCTCTGTCTGTTTATCAGTCACCTTTTCCTTCCCTGGTGTCTCAGAGGGAGAGATGTTCTTTATATTTTATGAGGCTAGGCAGCTGTACTTGATTCTGTGCCCAGCCTGTTCTCCTGGAATGTAGAGCCAGCAGAGAGGTCAGACACGAGGGCCAGCGTTTACTGCTGCCAGGCGTGGAGGCCGCTGCCTGGGTGCCCCCTGTGTTTCTGCTCCGTGTCCTGCCAATGTTCTCCCACTAATCACACATAGAAACGGAGCCAGGTGCACATTTAACTTCTGGTAACCATATGTGGAATTAACCACTCTCTGTGGGATTAACCACTATCTGTGAGCAAAGCAGGAAGTAAAACATGTTATTTGATAAAATTCCAGTGCTCAGACAAGACTCCCCGCCTGGGCCTTCCTGCTCTGAGGGAGGAGCCTTGCCCACATGACGTAAGTGAATGGATTAAGTGCAATAAGGCAAGAAAACGAAATAAAAGGCATTTAGGTTAGAGGGGAAGAGGTGAGACTACCTCTGTTCTTAGTATGATTGCTTATGTAGACAATTGCAAGAAATCTATACCAAAAAGCTCTCAGAACTAATAAGTGAGTTCAGCAAATTGTTGGGAAACAAGGATACAGTAATACAAGGCATTTATGTACAAATCTAACATCAAAAGATGTGCAGGATCTGTGTGCTGGAAACGACAAAACACTGATTTCAGACAACAGAGAGACATACCATGTGCATGGAAGACGCGGTATGGTTAAGATGCCATCCCTCCCTAAAGTGATCTGCAGATTTAACACATTCGCACTCACACTCACAGGAGAATTCTTTGACGATACAGACAAGCTGACTCTAAGATATGTATGTGGAGAAAAAGGAACAGAGTAGATGGAACAGTTTTGGAAGAGAAGGACAGAGCTGGAGCCGTGTATGCCCCCTGCCCCTGGCTTCCAGGAACAGGAGCTGCTTCCCCTCATCTGGAAGGTGACGGAGCTGGGAGTGATGACCCCTTCTGGAAGGGGACCCTGTCCCCTTGGGGAGCCTTCAGCCAACCTGACCAGCCAGAGAGAACAGTTTCAGACTAGAGAGCCCAGCTGAACGGGGGTGGGGAGAGGCTCTGACTAGCAGGGTTGGCTGCTCTTTGTGTGGAGCACAGGAAACCCCATCCACCCCTCTACCCAGGTGTCCCCCCACCCTTGCTCCTTGTGCCCATCCTTTCCTAGTGGCCTCTCCAGGTGGCGCCCTAAAGTAAGCTCCTCTTCAGGGAGGCTCCCGTCTGAGCAGAGTCATCCCCCGCTCTTGTCTTTCCCGGTATTTATTTCCTCAGCCTGGCCCAGACTCTGGATTCAGGGATACTCACCTCTCTGCATGGGACCCTCAGACCCGCCCGCATCTCCGCTTCTCCACCCGAGGTGGGGAGTCACAGAGCTGGGCCTGCCCGAGGGAATCAGAGCCGCCTGTGCAGACTCAGAGCCCGGGCACTCCTCCAGCTGCAGTGGGAACAAAGCAGCTTTCGCAGAAACTGCTGCCCTCCCCACCTCTGACCTCGGCCCGGGGAGCTGGGGGAGCTGGGGGAGCTGGGGAGTGGCTGGTGGCAGCGCAGTCTCTGCACTGACCTCCCACCAGGCAGAGGTGGTCCCGGGCTCCCCACGCACACCCCCCAGAGCAGGTCGCAGGCCCCGTGGCGTTCTGGCAGCCCCTGCTCTTTTCTTCCCTCGCTTTACTTTCCAGAACAGTGTGTGAGACTCAGCTCAGGCCTGTGCAGGCAGGAAATTCTCCCGTCCATCATCCAGGAGAGGTGGGCTTGGGACGTGACCCCCTCTGGGGCATCAGGCGGTATAAACCTGCCACCCCCAGCTCCTGACCCAGTCTTACTCCTGCGCTCTGGTGTGCTTCGGCCTTGGCCCAGGCTCCCGGCCTGAGACGGTGACTAAGTTCAGGGGCTGCAGGAAGCTGTTTGCTCTGTTTGGGGGCAGCAGGTATGTAGGGAGCCGGGTCCTAGTCTCCATTTATGAGAAACAGATTTAGGGGCCCACAGGTCACTGAACCCACGCTTCTGCAGGCTAAGCTGGATGTGTGTGGGACTGCGGTCCAGGGGTGGGCGGTCTGAGTCCACTCGCAGGCTGCAAAGGTCACTCTGTCCCTGGACCTCGCTCTGTCCTTTCTCCCCCTCCTCGCTTCACTGGCCACAGGGTCTCCCTGCGGCCCTGGGTGTGTAGCTCTGCCATCCTCACCCGTCCCGGGGCAGAAATGAGGAGTAGCAGCCTGGGTGCACAGCGGCAAGCGGAAGGCCCGAGAAGGACCAGCCCTGGAGAGCACAGTCCCCTCTGGGCGTCCTGCAGAGGGGCTCACAGAGACCGGGAGCGCCCCAGGAGGAGGGTGACAGCCACTGCCATCCAGGGCAAGCATCCAGCCATCTACTCGCCTCTCCGATTGTCTCCAGTCTTCCCACTCGGCCCAGAGATGGGGCCACGTGAAGGTGTCCTTGGCTTCATCCTGCTTCCGCTTCCCCACCCTGGGATTTCTGTACACACAGCCTCAAGGAACAGGAGCCGGCGGTGAGAGGACCTACCTGCTGACTCCTAACCGACGTCCAGACGGATAGAACCACGGGGAGAAATGTGTGCTTCATTAGTAATTAACGAAAGGAGAGCACTTTCCCCGCAGCAAACCGCAACGGGAAAATAACACGCAGTTATCAGCAAAGTAGTACTAAAATAACACCCCACACATTGCATATGGGGTACCGGGTGGTCCAGGCTTCCTGATGTAAGTTTGGTGATAGTGGCAAACATCCTAAAAGTTTCCATGGCCTTTGACTTCATAATTCTACATTCGGTCATTTATCTTAACAAGATCATTAAAGATTTACTTCTAGGATGTTCATCCCAGCATTGCAATAGAGAAAAAAAGGAAAGCGACTGATTGGAGGTTCGTTTCTTTTCTGCTGTAATGAAAATTTTCAATAGGGAATTGCTGAAGTAATTTATTGTGTATCCATCCAGATGGCGGAGTACTGCACAGCCCTTAAAAGTCACGCAGAACATTTGACTAGAAAGAAAAATGCTCTGAACATTAAAAAAGGTTATAAAAGTAGTATTATGTAATCTCAATTTTGGTTTTTTTTTTTAATATAGGTGTGTACTTATGTACATAAAGCAGATAAAAAGACTGAGGACATATTCCAAAATGTTAATAATAGTGGTTATCTGCGGATGGTGGAATAAAGTAATTGTAATTCTCCTCTTTGGTTTTCCAGATTTTCTATATTACTTGTATATGGCTATATTACTTGTGTATGGCTTTCGTATAATAAATAAAATTTAAAAGAAAAAAAAAGTAGTCGGAGTTATAACACTACCTGATCTTAAGGTATCCTTTGACACTTCAGTAATCAAGACGATGTGGTCTCAGCAAAAGGACAGACATAATGGAACAGACAGAGAGTCCAGAAATACACCCAGGCAAACGGCCACTGGTTCTGATGAACATGCAAAGGCCATTCAGTGGAGAAAGGACAGTCTTTTCAACAAATGGCGCTGGAGCAACTGGACATCTATATACAAAAAAATTAACCTATAACCTTATGCTCTGCACAGAACTTACATCAAACTGGATCACAGACTAAAATGTAAAATGATCAAACTCTTAGAAGTAAACCATAGGATAAAAATCTTCAGGACCTTGGTTTAGACGAAAAGTCTTTAGATACATCGCCAACAGCACGATGTGTAAGAGAAAAGATTAATATTATGCTTCTTCAAAATTAAAA